AGTGACTTAAAACCCCAAATCGGATGAAACGTATATATGGGAGCTATAGCAATATCTGAACCGATTTTCTCTAAATATGGTGTGCTTGCTTCTAGACTAAATTCGGTGGGGTGTACTTTTGACTTTTTGGCGGATATGGCCATTTGGTGCGCAATTAACCCGAAATCGGTATAAGATATATATTGGAGCTATATCCTAATATCACCAAATTCAATAAGGGTTTGTCCTTGGGCCAAACAAATATTGTTTGGAAAATTTCACCTTAATCAGAAAACATGGGCAGACAGAGTAACATGCATAAATCGACTCAGAAAGTGGTTCTATGAAGATCCTCAAAAGTAATTATGGATCTATCTCGCTTCCTTCTGCATGTTAAAAAAACAAATGCACAAAATATCATAAGAGTTTTGGGTTCTCAAGCCAAATTTTTTGACAAAAAGGGACCCCATTATTCAATGCGGATTTCTAAGTCAAGTATTTTTTTTTTTTTTGTCATATTTTCTATATTATTTTATGTTTTCAACTGTTTTCATGTAGAACCCTTCCTTGAAAAAAATTATCAATATTGGTTAACATTTTGGTATTGCTCTTATATACACCCTGCTTATAGTTATTTCGAGGGTCTTGGTTATATTTTCAAATCGAATAATCGGAAATCGGTTGCGTAGTAAAAACATTTAGATTCTTGCAGTTATGGAACAGACCATTTGCTTCCGTCGGTTGCGAAAGACATTCCGACATGACATATATTTAATAATATTCGTAATATGACATTCGATCTTTAATCTTCTACACTATTTGTTGATGATTAATCACAGATCTGACACTTAGCTTACATTGATCTACGTTTGTAGATTTGGAAATATATGGATGGATGGATGGATATGGGCATCTTCTCTTGTCATTTTACGTCTTCGGTGAGATATTTGTTTAATTAGCCGTATTTCCTTTGTAATAGCACTCACCTTGTGCTACTCTTTTCAAATTTCAACTTCCCTGCTTTCTTTCCCATTGTGCACCCAGCATTGGTTATCACTCCAAACAGTAGCCATTTTTCTCATCATCACCGGGGTATGAGACGATAAACATCTTTGTTTATTTTTTATATCTTCAACAACAGAGAAAAAAGGTTCATTGGCTCCCCAATGTGAGTTAATGGTCATTGAGAATATTTTTCGGTTACCTCACAGTGAAGCTGCTCAACTGATGTTTGGGAGTCACCCGAACAAAATCACTCTGAACGTTTATGCGGAGCAAATAAAATCTTAATTAAATTCAATTAAAGTAACGTTTTTCATCATTTGCTTGTCTGTTAATGTTGTTGCTGGCTGTTTGGCCAACTGACTTCGGCTACCGTTTGTTTCATCAACAACCTGTCACTGTTTTAATTATTTTTTTATTTAATTTTCTTCCGAAAACAAATCTAAGCTGACAAGTGCAAAGAAGTTCCACCAAAGAAGTGTCATTGATCCCAAAATCCTAAAATGGCAGAAGACAAGGCAATGCAAAATGGTTAAACCAAAGAAATTATACTACTTACCTAGAATATATAATATTGACTCCCAAGAGCCTTGACCTACAGTGCCCCCAATAATTAATCCAAGGCTTGAAGACATCCCCTTTTAGTTTATCTTCCTATGCGTTGAATTCCCCATCCAGTAGTACGCCTTTTAATATCCATGATAGTAGTCTACATAGTTTTAAGTGCAATATTTTAAGCAACCATCTTCTCAGCTGTAATACAGGGTGAAACATGAAAAAACTGCAACCATCTTCAGACTGCTATCATTTCTAAGCCACTCGTTTGACAGCTGTTAAAATTACTCCAGTGACAGCTCATTATATTGTTTACAAGCGTACAAAAGCATTTTGGTGAGAATTTTCCAGGAAAAAAGTTATTCGAGATGGAATTCAAGCGCGATAGTGTGATTTTTTTATATTCGGCTGGAAAACCACAAGTGGCTATCGTTAGAGCACTCCAGCATTTAAATGTGAATAAATCTTTTTTGTAGCGTAACCCGACGTTAAAGAAGTGGACGAAAGAAAATGCAACATAAGCAGAAATGGTTCGAAAAGTAAAGAAGCGACTTGATCGAAACCCGCGTTGGAGTGGCCGGAAAATGGCTCGTGAGCTGAACATATCGCAATACTCCATTTGGCAAATATTGAAATATGGGCTTGGGGTATAGCCATCGAAATTCCAAAAAGTGCAAGAACTTACACCGCAACAGAAAGAAAATAGACTCAAAAGAGCTTTGTATGGCCAATTTGGTTATCTCCGATGAGAAAACATTTGCAGAACTCAAGCGCCGGCCATGGTGATGGTGTGGGCCGGTGGTCGCTCTCCGCTCGTATTAATCGACCGTGGCATCAGAATAAATGCCGAATATTATAGCGAAAATATTCTGGAGGATGTATTTAAGCCTTAGGCACGCAAAAATTTTAGCCGCAGACCTTGGACATTGTGTCTGGTGTATTTTGGAAATCAAGGTTGGCCAGAGTTGGTTACCAAAGTGGCAATCATCTTAAGCAAGCGCGTCGCCGGGAATGGACCAAAATACCACAGAGCAACGTTCGGGCAGCGTGTGACGGTTTCATTGGCCGTTTAAAGGCCATAATTCGTGCCAAAGGTGACCAATTCGAAGCAATCTAAACTTATTCTAAAATTTGCTGCTATTTCCGACATCTTTTGCTTTCATTCCACAAAATTAAAAAAAAAATGTTGCAGTTTTTTTATCTCATCCTGTATACATTGCATTAGCATTAGTGGTTTTAATACTATTTGATATAAGCGTCTCTAGCTCACTTAACGTTAAATGGAAGGACAGCGGCTTGTTTGTGATCCGCAAATCTCGGGAATAAAAATATTCAAATAAAATGATGGCAGAACTGTGTAGCATACTTTTTGGCATTGAAATAGTAGATATTTTCAAGGGTGATAGTAGGGAGATTTGTGTTCATTTTCGAAATGTATTTGCAATGTCAAGTGGTTCCAATCATTTGGAGCACCGGTACTCCAATATCAATGTGGGTGTCTTTTATGAATAGCTTGGCATAAGAGGAAACTTGCTCGCCAGGAATAATACGCTTGGATGCTTTGAAAACTGTTGTAATAAAAAATTGTTCATCCTTCTCATTGTTCAGCATGACATGAAGGTTTAGACAATTCATAAAAATGTTTTGTCTGGGCCCAACGATGGCGCTGGATTTCTACCTAGTTCTTATATTGTCAGATTGTAATTGGAAGGAGAAATGGACGTATACGCAATCATCTGTTTCTTCATCAGTATGAATGCTATTCAGACCCGCTTGATAGGCTTAATGATCTAGGGGCTCTCTCTTATATCACCTGACCTCTCTCTCTAGATCATGTCCACCATATGGCAGTTAGGAAGACTCCCACGATAACACCCTAGCAGGTACTGCAACAAAAGCATATGATTGTTATCGTAAGGAAAGCACCTTCGCCTCCTCACGTAAATGGTCCACTGGGGTCATGAGGAGGTACCCTGTTGCAGTTCTCAGGACGGCATTCTGGCAGGTCTGCCTACTTTTCCACTGCGTTGCACTTGTATTCGCACTGGAGCCGCATAGCTAACCACAGACCGACCTATCGCTTTATAAGAGGTCAACAAAGTTTCCTTATCCACACCCGCACTGGCTAGCGCCTTGGGCACCTTGTTCCTACTTTTTAGTTTATCGCAGATAGCTGGGGCTTGCGCGGAAGACTTGAACATGCTATCGAATGTGACTCCAAGGATTTTGGGGTGGTTAGTGGTCGGAATTATGTGCTCCTCGACCTACACATTGAGCTGTGTTCTCATCTTTTCATTTAGTGGCGGATATTTTCATATTCCTCACATGGAAGAATCCGGCAAGCTCCGAGAGATAGCTGTTCACCCTGACACATATGTCATTAACTACAGAACCCGACGCCATTATTGTACAGTCATCCGCATATGTTACGATCTCGATGCCTTCTGTTTCACTCTACGGGGCTTAGACTTCTAGTTCCGGAATTCCACGTGCGACTGGCGTCCACACATATAGTTGGCTATCCAACGTTTAAAACATGGCCGGAGGGTAGTATTCTCGACGTCCTGGATGATGGTAAGCAACTTAATAGCTTCTTCTAATACTGTGGAGGAGTAAAGCCTCGAGAGTCTTTGCTACTGGCGACAAAGGCAAAATTGGCCACGTGCGACTGGCGTTCACACATATAGTTGACTATCCAACGTTTCAAATTTGGCCGGAGGGTAGTATTCTCAACGTCCTGGATGATGGTTAGCAACTGCCTCGACAGTCTTTGCTACTGGCGACAAAGGCGAAATTGGCCTGTATGATGTGCCTTTGCTGGCATCCTTGCCAGGCTTCAGTAGCGGGACCACACTGCCCATTTTGCAGGCTTCGGGAACTATTTGGGTGGCTAACGACAAGTTAAGGACTTTGGTTAGTTACTCAACTCCCGGCGTATTCAGTTGCTTAAATTTTACCATTGATATTCCGACGGGACCCAACGCTTTAGATGACTTAGCTTTTCTGATGACATTCGCAACATCACCCATCGTAAACTGTGGAGGCACGTCTTTGGCGGGCCGTTACCCACAGTTTACTCAAATCGGTTCCAATGTTGCAACACTTCTCTTTTTCTTTCTTATGCTCCGCTTATGCTCCTGTACCAACCTGTTGACTTCCACTGTCAGTTCATTGACTCTGCGATCCGTAGGGTTGGTAGGCCGGAGCTCATCACGCTCATTCGAAAGTCCCGCTGCCTCTGCTGGGAAACTCTGATAATGGATCGATGAAACTCTAAACTCTGATAATGGATCGGGGTAAAATGGAACGGGTGTAGAGGGTGTAAAGGGTGAGTAAAACTCTCTTACACAACTCTTCTGCATAAGATCAGCCAACGTAGAATTTTTTTTACACAAATATCCCTGGACACACAGATTTCGAATAACTGTGGCCTTATATACACATCGTACATAAAAAAACGTATATTGCACTGAGACCATGGGTTGTATATATTTTATCATCGAATATCTTTAAGTGCACATTTAACATTGATTATATCATATAGTACCTTGTATTCATATATATTTATTTAAAATAACAGTATTAAAAAAAAAAACATTATATCTTTCCTCATGGACCATTCGATTGTCCGTTTAGCAAAAAAGCCATTACAGTCATGTCATCGGTAAAGTTTACAAAAAAAAGCCTCTCAAAAATTAGACATTATCAGCCGCTTTAAATTTTTTGGATTTCATCTAAAACAAGAACAAATATTAATATCTAAAACAATATCCAAAAACAAAATCGCCAATGCATACCCCATCTTCATCCAAAACTTCAGTAACACCATATTCCGTTGTTACAACTTGTACAGCTTGACCAGGTCCCGTTGATTTCTTTTTGTGCGTTTTGCCACCCAGCAATTTGTTCAAGACACTGCTACCTTTGGTATCACCACAGCAAAAGACATTTGATGTCCTGCGATTATCTAAATTAGTTCTGGGTATTATAATTTTAGTAATAGAAAAATCGGTTTCATCCATAAGATCTTCGTTGTTAGTATCGTCGTCGTCGTCATCATCATCATCTTCCTCCACATCAGACGGTGTGGTTTCATTTGATGATATTTGCATATTTTCTTGTTGATTAATGTTAAGGAGATTCTGTTTGGGTTTTCTAACCAGGGATGTTATATACTTACTAATATATCGGAATGTACAGGGGATTTGAAATGCATGTGTGAAGAGGTAAAGGGAATGTAAAACAAGAATTCTATGTTATTAGTTATTGTAATAATCAGAATCATCTACCAAACAGAAGCCACTTCAGCAGTTGCAATCAATGTGCAAAACGAAAAGGCCAAAAGAAAACAAGAAAACTATATTTTGCAACAGAAATATGGGGACATTAATAAAACAATGAACTTAAGACTGCTGGGTGTGATTAAAATTAGAGATCATTACAAACCAAAAATGGTGGACTCATTCTGTTATAAGAAAGAAGCCAAAAAATAAAATTCGGCGTAGTGGTAGCACCAACGAAAGTAACTCTTCAATTTGAAAATTCGAAACATTTCTATTAAATTTAAAATCAAATGAGTAACCATAGGTTAAAGTCGTGTGGGACCGACTGTAAAATCAGAAAACATTTAATTTTTGGGTCCATTTGAATCTCTAAAGATACATTTTGGTCTATTTTAACCTTAACCCTAAATATTTTGCAATCATCTCCAAAAGCAGTAGACTTCTATTCCCCACCTGCATACTCAATTTCGCGACAATCGGAAAATAATTGCGACCTGTGCGTGATTACAAATTAAGATGGACAGAATTATGGCCTTCGAACGGCCACTGCAACCGTCACACGCTGCCCGAATGTTGCTCTACGGTATTTTGGCCCATTCCCGGGGAAGCGCTTGCTTGAGGTGATCGACACTTTCGTATTTTTTAGTGCCATCCTTGCTTTCCAAAATACTCCAGACACAATAGTTCAACGGATTGGCATTCGGAGATTTTGGTGGACATTGTGCGCTGGAAATGAAGCGAGGAACCTCATTTTGTAACCATTCTTCGGTGGCGCGTGCTGAGTGCGATGGTGCTGAGTCCTGTTGGAATGTTCAAGGTCTGCGGCCAAAATGTTTGCATGCCTAAGGCTTTAATACACCATCCAGAATATTTTCGCGATAATATTCAGCATTTATTGTTGCCACGATTGATTAATACGAGCTGAGAGCGATGACTTTACCCCGAGCTCAGCTTTCAATATTTGCCGAATGGAATATTGCGATATTTTCAGCTCACGAGCCATTTTTCGGTCACTGCAACGCGGTTTTCGAACAAGTCGCTTCTTTACTTTTCGAGCCATTTCTGCTGATGTTGCTGTTTTCTTCTGTCCACTTCCTTGACGTCGGGCTTCGCTACCAGTATCACGGTAACGAGCGGTGGTACGAGACACAAAAGATTTATTCACAACAGCGAAAATATTCTGGAGGGTGTTAAAACGAGATTCCTCGCTTCATTTCCGGCGCACAATGGCCACCAAAATTTCCGGATAACAATCCGTTGGACTATTGTGTCTGGAGTATTTTGGAAAGCAAGGTTTGCACTGAAAAAATTACTAAAGTGTCGATCACCTCAAGCAAGCGCTTCCCCGGGAATGGGCCAAAATACCGCAGAGCAACATTCGGGCAACGTGTGACGTTTTCGTTGGCCGTTTGAAGGCCATAATTCGTGCCAAAGGTGACCAATTTGAAAAAATCTAAACTTATTCTAAAATTTGAGGCTATTTCCGATATATTTTCTTTTATTCATAAAATTTTAAAAGATATGTAAAAATTATGGCGTTTGACTTTGTTGCAGTTTTTTATCTCTCCCTGTATTATATATAAGATTTTAAATTAAAACGTACGATCAATTCAGTATCGTTGCAACTCAAAACTCTACTCCATTTGGAAAACGTATTGTCCTTATGTTTTGGACAATTGTCTAAAGCAAGTCAACTTCTTTTAACAATTTTCTGTGCATACTTTTAGGCAAACAAAAATTATCTTGAAAAATTAAAAATATTCAAACGTACACTGAAAAACATTTAAATAAAAAACACAAACGAAAATGACTTTCGAGAAATTTTTTAAACTAAAAATATTTTATTGATAAATTAAAAAAAAAAAAAAAAAACAAAAACTATAAAATAATATCCCAGTATTGTTTTGTTCACTGCCATAAAATAAACGGAAAAAATGCATTTCATCATCAACTCACACTCCATAAACAATTTCCAGCTAAAAATGGGGCTGTCTGTTGCGGTGCTGGTGCTTTCAGTGCCAAGTAATAAAAGTTTACTTGGTATTGTTGTTGTCAAGTAATTGGAAGATGCTCGTATAAGGCAACTACGTTGTGATGACAATAATTTGCTGTTGTTAAAGTTGTGATTATCTTGCATAGAGTGATAATGATTACTAGTAGAAGGTCAGCTAGAATTGCTTTATGGTTTCATAAATTGGTTGACAGTTTTATTTTGGAGCAAAAAAAAAGAGAAAGAAAAAGCACAAAACAATAGGTAGATATTTATGTATTTGCACACAAACAGACAACAAACTTGGATATGACAAAGAACTCAACAAAAAAAATAATGTAAACATCAAAGGATTATGACGACAACGTTGGTAACGAAAAAAAGGATGAAAATAAAGCTTCCAGTGTACGTTTGAGAATGTTTTGTTAAAAGCCGATTGCAATAAATGACGTGTGGTGCAATAATGAGAAAATGTTTTTACGAACAGCTAATACAATATGTATGTAATGCAAAAATAGTATTTTGTGGTTACTTACGTTTTAGATTGGAATAATCCAAATTGTTTAATATACTCTATGACTAAATCATCGATTAAATATTTCACAGATTGTCCACGACTCAACAGACGTCGTATCATTGTTGAACTTACTTCATTCGATACCCAATTGGTAACAAGGGTTATGTTGCGCTACATTGACAGAAATATTGATTAAATTTACTTTCATCGCGTTGCATTAAACTTACTTGGTATTTTGTTAGAATGTCCGATTCAAAGATAAACTTTTCGGCATTGGAACCACTGCGTGATATAACCACCAGCCCATGATTGCTAACAATATCTTCAATCTGAAAAATAAGTAAATGAATTGCATAATGACGTGATATTCAAATTTCACAACATTTAGTTTTGTTGTGAAAAATATATTTTGAAAACAGTAAAAACCCCTCTCAGCCTTGCTTTACTTACATCCTCTTCAGCCCACAGACCAGGTACAGCAAATGATTCGAGTAGGTCGGCCCCACACAACAGCCTCAATTGAACCGGGTCCCGACGTTCTCTTAAGCTAGGTGGCAACCAGCCAGGAACATGATTATCATCTCCATTCATATTATCCAAATCGGGAGAATTTATATAATTATTCATAAAATTTTGATGGTATTGCAAAACGGCCTGCGTCCGCGACCAACCATCCTGCAATGTTTCCCATTCGGATAAACGTATCCATGATGATGACTGTAAAGCCAATTTGACCATTGCACAACGATGCTTGCCTGGCGCCAAACCTTTCTTGCCATATGCATCATGTGTGGGTGAAACAATACCACCAATTACCTTATGGCTGCCACACATCTCAAAATGATCTCTGGCAATTTCTATGGAATTGAAAAATAGATATATTTATAAGCGAACAACCGGTGTGTTGTATTGTCATATGCACCTACCAAACATTCGAAGATGCATCGGAGTTGGTGGACTAAAGGAACCGCACGCAATTAAGACAATTCGTGGCAACAAACGATTTGATGTTTCTTCCAATAATATAGACATTTTTCTGGCAAACTAAAAGTGATATTTTCTTACTGTAAACAAAGTTTTATTTTGAAATTGTTTATTCAATAACCAACACTCCCACACACTCTGGAATTTAGAAAATTTTTTATTTAAATTCACTGATTTGCATTAGTTTGTATTTTCATTTCCTTATATCCATTCTTTTCATACACAATTTACAAACAATTTTTATTATTTTGGTTTAATTTCAAAGGAAAGCACGTACCGACGCAACTCAAGTTCAATGCGAAATAGAGAGCCAATTAGAAAAAAATAAAAAACACAAAGTGGAAATGCATGATAAAGATACGAATCAAAGCAAAAAACAGGGAATGCTAAAAGGGTCTTAGAACATCGAAAACAGCTGTTTGTTCACTGGAGGAACGAAGGAACGAGTTTTGTATTCGTTCGTCAGAAAACATTTTTTTTCTGAGTTTGCTTGACTTTTGCCAACTTCGTGTTTGTATACATATGTATTTAAAAATAAAAACAAAACATTTTAACAATTAATGCTAGAAAATACGAGAAAAAGCAACATCACTCTAAAAATTGAAAACAAACTATATATATACATATGGTCTGTTCCAGAACTGCAAGAAGGTGAAAGTTTTTACTACGATAACCGATTATCACTCTATGATATCGAAGAAAATTGGAAAACTATTTTTTTCTTGAAGGTACTGGAACAGAGCAATAAAGTTTTCTACATTTTGCAAATTTACAGATACACGACTATTTTACCTAATGTGGTGTCGCTGTTCCTTTGCCTCGAAAAAAATTTTCCGTACCATCGCCGTTGGCGTTTTGTAAAGTATGACAGCATTATTTACTATAATTAGGCCAAAAAAATTTCACATTGAACGGCAGTGAAATTTTATATCGAAAACGTGAATACCTATTGTATATAAATAAATGGAGTCAAATCAGATGGGATTTCCTGCTGTAATAATTATACCATGCAATTGAATTACTAAACAGTATAAATCATATTTTAGCATTCATATTTCACGTTGTTTAATCAATTTTATAAATGAGGATATATATCAAATAAATAAAAAATCTTTTGATATTCTGCCAGGAAGCGTTTACGCGTTTTATCTTTTTATTTTAAAAATAATTTACAAATTGTATTTGTTTTTTAATTGACGAAGCCAATTATAGACAAGGTGTTATTACACAATTTTCTTGAAGAACTACTTTTTTCTTCAAACAACAATTATTCATTATTTCCGTGTGTATGTCAAAATTTTCATTTCACATGTGACTCATAATTCTTACTTTCACACGATTACTTATATTTCTTTATTTCCTTTGGCCATAACGTTTGCGTGCACAAGGCTTTAATACACCCTGAAGAATATTTTCGCCATAATATTCGGGATTTATTCTGATGCCACGGTCGATTAATACGAGCGGAGAGCGACCATCGGCTGTTATGGCGGTTCACACCATCACCATGGCAGGCGCTTGAGTTCTGGTGGAAAACTGAAGGTGCACATTTTCAGCTGAACTCTTTGGCAAGTAAACACGATCATTTTTTTTGTTTACAAACTGCTGAACAACGAATTTTTTTCTCATCAGAGAAACCCAAGTTCATCACTTTCGGCCAAGCGAACCAACACTTTAGCTCTTTTGAGTCTATTTTCTTTAATTTGCGGTGTAAGTTGTTGCAAGTTCTTGCACTTTTTGGAATTCAATGGTTTTACCCCGAGCTCATTTTTCAATATTTGCCGAATGGCAAATATTTTGTATTTTCAGATAATCTCTCACAGCATGAACGACATCTATTGAAGCACTTTTTTCGAAGATAACAGATTAGACAACTTTTTAGTCTATACCTTTATTTGTCTATGATATAACGTAATGGCTCCCCAGCCCAACAAAAAGAAAAACCCATAATAAAGCGACGCAACCACTACAAAAACATAGCCTATATATTTAGGCGAAGGTACTCAATTACTTTAAACCTAATCAGGAAGCTGATTCCACAATCTCACCGCCCTAACAACAAAGGATCTCTCACCAATGGAGGACGAAAACCTTGGACACAACAATTGAGGATTTCGGGATGATTTACAAAACACAAAGTTGTCACACAATTTTATGATATAAAATAACTTTTTTAATATTACCACATTGTAGTGCAGTGAACCTCTATATTTTGAAACTTGTAAAAGGAACAATTTTCAATTTCTCATGAGACATTGATTGTGAAAGTCGTTGTATAAAAACACAACCATGGTACAATGAAGACAGGGTATGCTAACTTTGAAATTTTTGTTCAAAATCATGTTCTATATATCTTTAATGGTTTATTTCACTGCAAAAACTGTGAATACATACGATACAATAATCATTTTGAAAACACCCGAATAATATTTTCTTTTTTATTTAATATTTTCTAAACATCATAACCCCACCTTGATTTTATTGTAACATAACTAAAAATTCGAAGAGAACTGTAAGAAATATTTAGAAAAAATCCGTGTGAATTATTTAAAAATCTCATACTTTCATGATATTCGCCATCTGTGAACATTGACTTTGTCTTCTTGAGAAATAAAATTCATGTACGTTAAGCGTTACGCTTTGCATTAGTTTTAGCAGGCCAGTTGCTTTTTGACAGTTGGTAAATATGGCGTCGTGTTAAATGTCTTGAAATGTCGCTGCCAGTGTATGTGTGAAAAGAGGAAAAATTACGATATTTTTCTTTTGTTAGAAGTTAAACAAGGAAAAATTACAAATAATCGCGATAGCATTTTATAAAATTAGTAAATAATAACTTATAATGTCTACGACGGAAAGCAAAGATTCGAAAGAGAGCTAATAGTATTTTATGAAATAAAAAAAATCGATTGCAAAAAATGAATTTGTGCAACAAATGTAAAAGCTGAAGACAAGAAGACGACGGGAAAAATCTGTGCAAAAAATATATTAAGGAAATCGAGACGACAAGTAAAATATAAGTGTATGGTGTGTGTATAAAAAGCCGTTGCAGAGGCCACCAATTTTTTTAAAGAAGAAAACAACAAGAATATCTTGAAGGCGATAGGACGGCAAACGTCGTTCCAAATAGGCGACAAAAAACACAAAAGTCTTTGTGGACAAAGGAGAAGTTTCCATTGTGGAGAAAATGGCTTTGGTGACAGTACAACGTTCACCAAGTGTCACTGGTTCCCCACAATGTTCCAATTCGGTAAGACGTGCTCTTTGCATCGTGTAAATGTCATGGACTTTTAGTGCAAAAAATAGATGACTATATGCAATGACTTGGTATCTATATTTAACAAGAAACTCAAAAAATATTTACATTTTTTTAAAATATTATTATGTTAGTGTCTTTTTTTTAAATATAATTGTCTCTTGAATTTTGTTTGTGTGTCTGTCCATCGTTTGTTCATAGATTGTTGAAGCTTTTTTTTTTTTGTAATTTTCTTTATTTTGTATGTGCACAAATAAGGCAAAAAGTGCGAGTTGCGCAAATACCTACCAAAATTACTCATTTCTTGCATTTCTTTTCTTTTTTTTTTTGCTGGTTTATGAGAATGGTTGTGTGCGTCTGTTTGTTTCTTTTGGATTTTATTTTCGTTTTTGTTTTGGTTTCAATGTTTTCTTCTGACTATGGTCGTGGTTTCGTCGCAAACGAAAGACACACCACAGAGTCATTAGCAGTGAAACGAAAGATTTTGGTGGCAGATTAACTAGAAATACATAAAAAGTTTGTTGTATTTTGGATTTTGTCATCAGAAAAAGTGGGAGCCCAATATGTTTATGAATGCTGCTGCTGCTGTTGTTGCTAGGTTACATTAGTAAAAATAAATTATAAAGAAAAAAAAACACTACAATTTATCTTATTGTCATCAACTTCCTCTGATGTCTATGAGTTCCAAATGTCAAAAATGTAATGCTCTCTGATCAGTGAATAATTTGTGTGTGTGCTTGATGGATTCATTCATTTTACCAGCCTTGGGTGGGGTGAATATTGTTAGGTTGTTACTATGCCTGCAGGTATGATAGCTACATACATCCAATAACTCGTTTCCTTGGTTTCCTTTTCATTACGGCGTGTTTTTAGAGTCTGGAGTCTACTTTGGTGTATGACACACAAATCAAAGTAATTCATTAACGTTTCTTGGGACTGATGGAAATTAAGTTGGAAATATAGGATCTATGGCCTTCCTTGTGAAGTGAGTCGGCATTGCATTACAATTTAAACTTTTATTGATTTTTGTGCATCTTATGATAGCTCTTTGCGCATATTGTCAGTAACAATATATATCACCTTAGAGCACCACCCGGCTCCCAGTATTTTAAATATTGCCTCACTTTACAGGGTGAGATAAAAAACTGCAATAAAGTTAAACCCCATAATCTTAATATTTTTTTTTTAATTTTTTTTAATGAAAGCAACATATGTCGGAAATAGCATCAAATTTTAAAGTAAGTTTAGATTTGTTCGAATTGGTCACCTTCGGCACGAATTATGGCCTTCAAAAGTCACACGCTGCCCAAATGTTGCTCTGCGGCATTTTGGCCCATTCCCGGCGAAGCGCTTGCTTGAGACGATCGATACTTTGGTATTTTTGTTTTCCAAAATACTCCAGACACAAAGTCCAACGATTTGGTATCCGGAAACTTTGGTTGCCATTGTGCGCTGGAAATGAAGTGAGGAACCTCATTTTGTAACCATTCTTGGGTGGCGCGTGCTGATTCCTGTTGGAATGTCCAAGTTCTGCGTTCAGATACTATTCGGCATTTATTCTGATGCCACGGTCGATCGATACGAGCGGAGAACGACCATCGGCTGTTATGGCGGGCCACACCATCACCATGGCGGGCGCTTGAGTTCTGGTGGTCAACCGAAGGTGCACATTTTCAGCTGACTTCTTTGGCAAGGACAACAAATGTTTTCTCAACGGAGAAAACCAAATTCGGCAATTCACTACTTTCGGCCAAGCGAAGCAACTCTTTAGCTCTTTTGAGTCTATTTTCTTTCTGTTGCGGTGTAAGTTCTTGCACTTTTTGGAATTGCAATGGCTTTACCCCGAGCTAATTTTTCAATATTTGCTGAATGAAATGTTGCGATATGTTCAGCTCACGAGCCATTTTCGGTCATTGCGACACGGGTTTCGATCGAACCATTTCTGCTGATGTTACTGTTTTCTTCCGTCCACTTCCTTGACGTCGGGCTACGCTACCAGTATAGTTACCACGGTAACGAGCGATGGTACGAGACACAAAAGATTTATTCACATTTAAATGCTGGAGTGCTCTAACGATAGCCACTTGTGGTTTTCCTGCCAAATATAAAGAAATCACACAATCACGCTTGAATTCCATTACGAATAACCTTTATTCTGGAAAAGTCTCACCAAAATGCTTTTGCACGTTTGTAAACAATATAATGAGGTGTCACTGGAATAATTTTAACAGCTGTCATTTCACCCTGTACTTCCTTGAACTTTCTGATAGAAAAAATTTGTTTCCGATCTTGTCTATATACGAAAATTAATTTCCATAATTCGATGCTGCAGAATTTTTCAGCAGCAATATAACAATAATATCTCTGGATTGGACAATTTTACCTTCGACATTGCCTCTGTTTGAAATTTCGACAAAGTATAAAAATTCAATTGTCGATCCTTTTCACAAACTCGGCAGCAATCGCCTTTTGTCAATACCATTTAGTTGTGATCCTTAATTTACTTAAACGTCATTGGGGAGTGTATCATTTTTAAGTATAGAATATTTGGGTAATTTTTTACTCCCAACAAATAATTCTCTTTCTATTGGTTTATCGGAGTAATATTACCATTCTGTTGGTCAAGATTTCTTTATTATAATGAACTTGGGAATAATTTTGCTCATATAAAAGTTTGTAAATCTGATAATTTTTACAAGGTGGATATACGCTATCATAGAGTCCCCTTACATAGAGTCCTCATCATTTACTTATTGGCTTAATAAAGTTTTTTTACAATTTTTTAATACGCACGGAGTTGTAAATAAAATATTCTCACTTATATTTATTTTGGATTCTAGGTATAAATAAATGAACCAAGAGAGTAAATGTGCAGACACCTACATACACATACACCTCTACCCACCTCGTTAATTTCGGCTATGCCCATTGTAACAAATAGCCAACATCAGTTTGGCCTTTTAGATTTTCATTTTTAAATAAATTACTCATTTGTTGTACTTTTTTCTTTTTTTGTCAATGCACGATAAGAAATTATAAACACCTTTCGGCGTAAATTGGGGAACAAAAACTAATCAAATTATTTTTTATTTCTAAGAATCCTGTCTAGTTATATTGATAATAATTTTGTTACTTAACAATTATAAAGTGCTCTTTCGATTTCCTGCTAAAGCATGTTTTTATAATAATTTTCTAATTTTAATCCCAATATTGCAGACCTCTTTTTGTTTCTTGCTTACTGGAAATTATTTAGCCATCATAAATAGATCACTATTTAGGATATTCGCCATAGAAAATTTAGCATTATAACTTAAAATAACTTGAAATTATTTTTGACGTAAAACATCAATATTTCCCACTGTGTGTTTTAGCTCCCATATATTTATAAAATATATACAAAATTTTAAAAAATATGTAATAAGTTATTGTCGCAAGATATTTTTCACCAAAATTTAAATATAGTGTAGTGTGTTTTTGATCTCAGTAGATTACTAGTACAGGGTGAGATAAAAAAAAACTGCAACAAAGTAAAACGCCATAATTTTCTAATTTTTTTTTTAATTTTATTGAATAAAACAAAAAATGTCGAAAATAGTATCAAATTTTAGAATAAGTTTAGATTTGTTCGAATTGATCACCTTTGGCTCGAATTATGGCCTTGAAACGGCCAATAAAACCGTCACACGCTGACCGAATGTTGCTCTGCGGTATTTTGACCCATCCGGGTCACCGGAGTTTTTGGTGGACATTGTGCGCTGGGAATGAAGCGAGGAACCTCATTTTGTAACCATTCTTGGGAGGCGGGTGCTGAGTGGGATTTTGCTGAGTCCTGTTGGAATGTCCAAGGTCTGCGGCCAAAATATTTGCTTGGCCAAGGCTTTAATATACCCTCCAGAATATTTTCGAGAAAACATTCGGTATTTATTCTAATGCCACGGTCGATTAATACGAGCGGAGAGCGACCATCGTCTGTTATGGCGGGCCACACCATCACCATGTCCGCGCTTGAGTTCTGGTGGCCACCCTAAGGTCCACATTTTGAGCTGACCTCTTTGGCAAGTAAACACAATAATTTTGTTTGTTTACAAACTGCTGGACAACAAATGTTTTCTCATCGGAGAAAACCAAATTCGGCAGTTCTCCATTTCCGGCCATGCGAAGCAACTCTTTAGCTCTTTTGAGTCTATTTTCTTTCTATGCAAAGCTACCACAATTATAACAAGTATTATTTATAAACGTTTTACTGTTAAATAATTACCACAATTATAAAAAAATGCTGGCAAGTAAAAGGCCCGGCCGAAATTTGAATACCCTCCATCATTTGGAACAAAACAATAAAATCCGTTAAAAATTCTGTTAAAATTCTCAAAATACCGAATGTAGCTGTTATATTAGGGTATATACGACGACATTGACCTACATAGGTAACATTTGTCATAAGCCATTACAATTTTCAAATGCGAAACTTAAAAAAAAAATTGGTAATAATGTAGCTAATATCTTAAAAATACCGAATATTGGGAGGTACCGTTATATGGGGGCTATACGAAGACGTGGACCTGCACAGACAATTTTCTGTCTTAGGCTGTAGTATCCATTACGAACTTCAAATGTATGTATGTATAGTCCACCAATCGCCTAGCTAACTGCGACAAATATCTTATACATTTGTGGTGATATTCCCATTCGTAGTCATCAGAAAATGACCTCAAATTCTTCTTGGCCTTTTTAAGACATTGAAAATGTAATACGACTAATAAATTAAATATAGCTAAAGTAAACTTCCGCAAGGAATAAACAACTGAAACGAAATGCTTATATTCGACAATCAAGGATAGTGGCATACGTCTTTATCACATATAGAATACCATAAAATGTCGACCAAAAAGAATTCTAATAATTTTATTTACATTTATGTAAGTAAATAAAATCATACAGCCAATCAGAATTTCAAATAAAATGTATGCCCATAGGAAATAGCCAAAAATGAACAAAAAAGGCAAATCTTAGATAGGCGGCAGGCAGTCAGATACATCGCAAAAACAAATTTGTGCCAATCAGCCATCCATAGTGGCATAAACAAAACAAAAACGAAATTTTTAATATCTGTTGCCGCTGTGCTTATCATTAAATACACAAACACGATTGTATATGTATATATTTCTAAATATTAGCCAGAATTGAACAAAAATCACAGGGAAATGTACAATAGACTGATTGTGATAGGGTAGAAAAAGTGACAACAATGGTTTTAAAACAAATTTTCAAGAAAAAAAAAATAGGGGCAGTTAATGTTTTTGTTTGTAGTGAATCACCGTCGTCATCATCATCATCGACGTCGTCACCCACTGACATTGTTATGATTTATTCGATTTCAAATATAGCATACGACGCTCAAGTGTAAATAGATATTGAAACAACCGTTTTAGGGCATTGAAAAAGGGGAACTTTCTCGTATGCCATGGCGTTATCAATGTTTACAATCATCCATCCATCTAATCAAAGAAATTTATTGCTTTGCTTAAAATTAGCCAATTGCAATAACGGAATTTAAATAGTTTTCAATGAGTTTTTATTGGAAATGACCTTGGGGGAATACAAATGTTTGTAGAAAAACATGATGTGTAAAAATTATGAACAAACAAAGGTTGTAATTTCGCATAGGATTGGGGTTTATCTAAGAAGGAATGGGGTTTAAAATGTGTTACAGAGTTGGAGTGTTTGAGTCGATTCTGACTCTGGGTAATAAGAGTTTTTATTTGTTCAAATATTTTTGCTTCAAGCATTTAATATTTATACCCTACAGCACTGTGTTGTAACACCTCGAAATATTGATTTCCCACATAGGAAAGTATCTTCCTATCTCGCCGAGCTGAGTCGATCTAGCTATGTATGTCCGTCTGTCCATGTTAATTTATAATCAAGCTACAGGTCGCAATTATGGCCCAATCCTCACGAAATTTAAAATAGAGGTGGGGTTAGTGTCAGAATAGAACCCCATTCCTTTGGGTGATGATTGCAAAATATTTAGGATTGAAATGGACCAAAAACAGAAAATGTTCCACAACATCCACAATTATTAACCAATCGACACGGAAATATGCATGGAGTTAGAGTTTAGGACTGGGCAGAAGCCGACCAATTTGGGACAATATTTAGCGGGTAAAATAAATTATAACTTTTATGTCAAAAAAATACGAAAATATCCACTTAACCTCAAATATTTTTGATCTCGGCCAAATCGCTTGCGATTTTTTGAATTTGACTTACAAATTTGAATTGTAAATTTTTACACTTCGCAATACAACGTTTTGATGGTGTTCTATGCATGTCGCAATTATCGTTCGATCCTTACAAAATTTTGCATGGGGGTAGGGTTAGGGTCAGAATTAAAGCCTATTGTTCTTAAGATGTACATTTAGGGTTTTAAATGGACTAAAAAAAATTAAATTTTTCTAATTTTTTATTCGCTCTATAGGCCACAATTGAAAACTTATCGACACGGAATTTCGCATCAGAAGAGAGTTAAGGACAGGAACATTATTTTTGACATTATTTCAAAAACGAAATCTTCCAAAATGGATCTGGACATAGCCTTTGCTTAAATGTTTTTCTATTAAATGATTTTTTCTATAGAATTAAGGCGGTGTAGAAAATGTAGACTAATTCATTTTCTTTTGGAAAAGATAAAGACAATTCCAATTAGCTCTCATCAAAAGATCCACTAAAATCTTCCAAAACTATTGGTGGAATTGGTTGAGAAGGGGAATACAATATTTAGCATTATACAGGGTCCGCCATATAACCTTTTCTTCTCAAGTCGATGTTTTGATCCAGATGCATTATTGGGCCATTTTTTCTTCGAAAATGAGCAAGGATTGGTGATTACGTTATCGGGATATGGGATATGCTGATAGAATTTTTGTGCAAAAAATTCAAGAGGAGGATGTTGGCAACAGTAGGTTTCAACAGGACGGCGCTGCATGTCATAAAGCCGAAACTACATTCGATATTTTGTGGCCTGTTTTTGAAGATCGCATTTTTAGCCGCATTTCTGCCGATGGACTACTACTTGATGCTACCAAATACAAGTGTTACACCGACAAGCCAGTGACATACAGCTGCACACAATCGATCAAGTGGACTGAAAAATTGGACCGATCCCTTACGCTACTGCATGGTCAGCCGAGGCAACATTTGAATGAAACTTTTATCTATTATCTATTATTCACTATTACACCCGAGTCAGCATGGATTCAGAATCGTAGCACAACATCTCTTCTGGTTGGATTGACAGATAATATTTAAAATTGTGTCAATGATGTGGAAAAGGCATTTGACAGGATAAATCATGCCAATTTAATCAGTAAGCTACATCGTTTTTTTCAATTTCTCGTCCTCGGCTTGCAAGTTATTGTTTTCTTACTTGTTTAGGAGAAAACAGTATGTCTGTTGTAAAAATGTTGTTTCCATTCTTCTTCCAGTGAGTAGTGGTGTTGTCCTGTAACGACCTCTCAATAAATACTCAAAAATCTGAAGTTATGTTTTTTGGAAACATGCAAGAGGATCCAATAAACGTTTCCATTTATAGGACGCCTATAAATGTTGTAAGCTCGATGAAATGTCTTGGTTTGTTTCATGATTCTGGTTTGGTATTTGATGTTCATCTGAATTCCTTAGTGTCCAAAGTAAATTTTATTTTAAAAAAGTTGTATTGTTTGGATAAAGTTTTGCCAAAGAAAATTAGAATTCAGTTGGTCCATGCCTTAATTATGCTTATTGAGATTTTTTTTTTTTTTTGGGGGGGGTGTTGTAGTTCTGGTTTTGTTTTTCGCAAATTGCAATTATTGTTTCATAGGGTTCTGCGATATGTTTTTTGTGATAAACGTCGTGACCATATATCTCCTTCTGTGAAAGAGTTCCTTGGTTGTTCATTTGATTGTTTTGTGAATTTAAGGTCAATGTTGTTCTTCTACAAACACTTTAGATTGCAAACACCTTTTTCTCTTTTGGACCTGTTTAAGGTTTCTAGATCTGTAAGGAACCTGCAAAATCGTATACCACGCTTAATTCCTCTGTTGGAAAAATCCTTCTACGTAAGAATTGCTCGTATTTTCAACAATCTGCCGCCCTATCTTAAGATATTTAATTCTTCTCTAAAATGTTATATGCGAAAAATATATGATCACTTCAATCAAAATGTTGTTTAATAATGTTCATGGTTTTCTTGTGTTTGTTTTTGTATTTCTCTTGCATAGCTGATTCATCTTAGTATTTAATCAATTGTTATCTTTTATTTTTGTTAATTTGTTTTAATGTTTATAATAATTTTAATTAAGATCTTTAAGATTAAGAATATTATAAATAATTTTAGAGTAGTCATGTATAGAAGTTTTTGGAACCGTCCATGGTCATATGGGCTAGGTAACTGTGTTAATTGGATACAAATAAATACAAACAAGAAATTGAACTAATTTATCCTAAAACCCCTTTGTTCTTTTACGAAAAAGCAAGTCGATCACTTATGCTAGTAAAAAAAGCTTTCTATGTATTTGCACCTTAAGAAATAACTCTGAAACGGAAAATGAAATTCAATAGGCTCAACAATTCTATAGACTCAAACATTTTGGAAAAAAAAGACCTTGCAAAAGATAAAATCAAAGTGCAGAATAAATAGACTGCTTCAACACGCCCGTATAGTAATCATGACTCAAATAATGTAGACTGGAATCATTGCAACACATGAGTGGACTACATCTTTGGCGTTGATCATTTTGCCAACTTTCGAATTTCGAAGGGATAATTCCCAATTTAAAACTAATTTGACTTATCTTTGGATATTATTTCGAGTGGCAAAAACTGTTCAGTATCGTTCAATATTTTGACATAAGTCCCATATGTCATAAGCGGTACTGGCGGTTTTAGGCATTTTCCATCGAAAGTAGTTGTTGCATAAAATATTCTGTTTAATTTATTTTATATGAAGAAGGCCTAAAAATAACATATTATCTTTCTCTTTACAGGATAGCGAAGCCGATGAAGAGGAGGGTAGCAAACATGAAAAAAGGTAATTACCAAATTATTTTGAAATAAAAGAACAATACTTTTTGGAGTCATATATTTTTGTTTTTTAAATGTTAACAATTTTTTGTTCTTGTCTTCAGTTCTAGCGAATGTTTCTTTGCTGGCAAAGGCACCGCATTAGTATTAGCGCTCAAAGATATTCCACAATACTCTGAACGTCGTCTGAGCACGGATTCAATAAGATCAACAAACAGCACACAAAGTAATAATTCTGATATTCAACACCACTTGCAGTCGATGTTTTATTTGTTAAGACACGAGGAAACATTGAAAATGGTAAGTAACGAAAATTTGAATGTTGCCAAAAAACTATATACATGTATGTAATTTAGACACCGAAAGTTACGGAGTTCCCGACTGAGAGGACAAAGAAAAAATAACAGTTTTAGAGTGAATTATGGTACACAAAATAGTGGTTGTTATTCATCAAATACAGCAATTGGTCGACAAATTAGAACTGTTAGGACGAATACGTGATGCGAAGAATTTCTGATGTAGCCCAAAATGTTCGACAAACCCCGGATTTGTCTATTATGCATAAAGACTTAGATGTTAAGGCTAATAAAATTTAGTTAGCATTAACAACGTGTTCTTCGCTGATTGAGTTTTTGATATGCATTTCATCAAAAAGTCATTTTGACTGATTGCTAGTTTGGTGGCTACGCCAACAAGAAAATGTCGCTCATTGGGCCCAGAAAACCGTAGTCATTTATAGTCCGTCGGTTTATTAGACCTTTTTTGAAATGAAGTTGGATCAACATTTACAGGGTGAGATAAAAAAAACTGCAACAAAGTCGTACGCCATAATTTTTAGATAGGAGAAAGCATCACATTTTAGAATAAGTTTAGATTTGTTCGAAATGGTCATCGTTGGCACGAATTATGGATTTAAACGGCCAATGAAACCGTTACACGCTGCCCGAATGTTGCTCTGCGGTATTTTTGCCCATTCCCGGCGAAGCGCTTGCTTGTGGTGATCGACACTTTGGTTCTTTTTAGTGCCAACCTTGATTTCCAAAATAACCTAGACACAATAGTCCAACGGATTGGTATCCGGAGATTTTGATGGTCATTGTGCGCTCAAAATGAAGCCAGGAACCTTATTTTGTAACCATTCATGGGCGGCACGTGATGAGCACAATGGTGCTGAGTCCTGTTGGAATATCCAAGGTCTGCGGCCAAAATGTTTGCGTGCCCAAGGCCTTAATACACCCTCCAGAATATTTTCGAGATAATATTCGGCTTTTATTCTGAGCTGAGAGCGAGCATCGACTGTTATGGCGGCCCACACCATCACCATGACCGGCACTTGAGTTCTGGTGGCCAACCGAAGGTGCACATTTTCAGCTAACCTCTTTCGGAAGTAAAAACCATCATTTCGTTTGTTTACAAACTGCTGTACAATGAATTTTTTCTCATCGGAGAGAACCAAATTCGGCAGTTCACCACTTTTGGCCAAGCGAAGCAACTCTTTAGCCATTTTGAGTCTATTTTCTTTCAGTTCCGGTGTAAGTTCTTGCACTTTTTGGAATTTCAATGGCTTTACCCCGAGCTCATTTTTCAATATTTGCCGAATGGAATATTGCGATATGTTCAGTTCACGAGCCATTTTCGGCCACTGTGACGCAGGTTTTGATTAAGTCGTTTCTTTACTTTTCGAACCATTTCTGCTGATGTTGCTGTTGTCTTCCGTCCACTTCCTTGACGTCGGGCTACGCTACCAATATCACGGTAACGAGCGATTGTACAAGACACAAAAGATTTATTGACATTTAAATGCTGGAGTGCTCTATCGAAAGCCACTTGTGGCTTTACAACCAAATATAAAGAAATCACACTATCACGCTTGAATTCCATCACGAGTAACTTTTTTCTGGAAAATTCTCACCATAATTCTTGTTAACAATATAATGAGCTGTCACTGGAATAATTTTAGCAGCTGTCGGACGAGTGACTTAGGTATGACAGCAGTCTGAAGTTGGTTGCTGTTTTTTCATCTCATCCTGTACAGGAAATTTTTCGCACATTTGAGCCACGTGAAAGATTAGTTCTACACCAAGAGCCCGATTTGTGGGACTGTACAGAACATAGGTTTGCTACTTATTTACGTTATCAACTAACACCTCTTAGTGGATAATGCTTAAAGTCAATGACTACCAGTCACTAGAAAATTTGTTAGATTTTTTAGAACCTGTGTCTCACGTTAATGAGTGCTGGACAGTGGCCGAGTAAAGGTTTGATTGTCTCATTTTCTTGACATATTCTACAGTAGTCAATATCATCGCTGTCCCATTTCGAGGTCATTGACCACACCTTGCAATGACCTGTGATGATACCCACCACAACTTTTAAGCCAGTTTTCAGCAATGACAGTAGGGACTCTTCTCCGAGAGTGTAGGCCAGATTCTTTTGGAGATGTTGCATTCCCTTTCTATGAATTACCGAGTTCCCAAATTCAATGGTAGTTGATTCGAACCCTATCCTAGCCAATTCGTCTGCAGCCTCATTGCCCGGAACATTATAATGACCAGGAACCTAACAGAACTTGATGGACAGGCCAGCCTTTCCAAGGATCTCCTGCAGTCCAAAACAACCTTAGACTTGATGGTAGAGGAGTTTAGGATTTTCAGTGCCGCTTGACTTTTAACGTATATAGTCACCGGACTGCTGACCTTGTTGTTGCTCGTGACCAACAGGTCTATGGCTTTTTTGACCGCAAAAATTTCCGCTTGCAATACGCTACAGTCGTTTCTAAGCTTGTAGTATTCGCGAACATTAAGAGTGTCACAGAAGACACTAGCTCCCGTTCCGCATTCCATCTTTGATCCGTCGTGTAGACAGCTATGCCACGGAAATGTGGATTGTTACGGACCCAGGTGTCCTATCAGGTATGTGAATGTCAGGCGGATCAAAGAATAACCATAGTGAAATATAATCACTAGTGTTGGCTTCCTCTCCCACATTCCTTACACGCCTTAGGATCGCAGAATGTCCATTGGTTTAGCTCTTTGAGTCGAAGGGCACAACTAATTCCCTGTTTCTTTACGTGTACGCTTAGTGGGCTTCAGCACAGTGCAGCTTGAGGTGTGCTCTTGAATGCTCCCGTTATTAGTAGGTATACGGCTCGTTGAACTTTGTCAATGTGACGTAAGTAGGATGATTTCCTCAAGGAATGCCACCAGACTAGAGCTCCATATGTTAGGATGCTGCGAACAATTGACTCATGCACCCATTTAATGATGTGTGGTTTGAGGCCCCAGCCTTTACCTATGGAGTTCTTACAAGAATAGAGCCTCTCTTTGCTCGCTCGGTGTTCCTCTTCCAGCTTAGTTGGCGGCCGAGGGTAGTGCCGAGGTATTTAGCTTCAGAGGAGAGGTTTAACGTGACCCCATCTAGCATCGGTGGTATTAAAGAAGGACATTTACCTTTCCTCGTAAAGAGGTCGAGCTCAGTCTTTGATGGGTTCACGCCTAGTCCATTGCAACGTGCCCACCTTGATAAGGGGACTAGAGCTCCCTACATCAGACCAGAGATAGTTTGCAGGAATTTCCCAGCAATCAACAATATCATTAGCATAAGCGACTGCATTCGTCCCATTTTGCCGCCCTGCGATTTCCTGACGGATATTTCCCCAATGCTTGAGTTGATAATTCTGCTACTAAGCATTGGATCAATCCAATTTATGAGGAGTTGGGGTACCCTAAGAGCTGTCGCTGGCGAAATCTCAATTGTAATATAGAAAAAACGGCAGAATTCTACCAAGGTCCACAATTTGCCATTAGGAGTCCGGGTGCCGTGTTCTTCAAACCTGCCACAGGCACGTAATGTTACTGAAACCTTCAAATATGCCAGAATAGTTGAATCGGCAGTTGTATAAATGTACAATTGAATGTTTTTATATCAAAAGGAATATGCACACATATGCTGTGGAGAAAATACCACTTGATATGTACGATAATGGAAAATAATTACAACCAATTTTCCCAAAATGTGTGAAACCGCTAGTCATTTGACAGCAATATAAAGATGACACAATTTTTTTTTTTAATTATTTTAGATCATTACACCTTATCAATTAAGCCCCAACTATATCGAAACTTTAAAAAAAATTTACGTTATCTATCTTTGAAAATACTTTAAAAACCAAGGAAATCTCAAAACATTTTACTCTTTTCCAATTTTTGTAATTGTTTTAACATCTTTTTTATACTTTTTAATGTTTACATAGGCTGTAAAACTGGAATCACAGCGTACAAATCGTACACGTTATATTGTGATTGCATCACGTTGTTGCTATCGTCCTACAACCACCGAAAGACGTAATAAAATAATGCGTCATAATTCAGCCAGAATGTCGACATCGTCATCGTGTTCTTTGTCATCAACAACAAATGCGTCGTCTGCGTCTGTCTCTGCAACACAACAAACATTTGGTAACGTGGGAACAGCACGTCAACTATCGATGGATGGTACCAAAAGTTCAACGCAGCAGCAGCAGCAACAGCATTTGCAACAAATAGACGATAGCTGGGTGGAAATGCGTGATAAACGTTTGTCAAATATCTCGACAACAAATCGTCAAAGTCTTAAATGTGATGCTTCCGAAAGGACTTGTGCTTCGGGAGATAATAATAAAAATGGTAATATGACGGCGACGTTAAAAAATTCAACTGCCAATATTTTGAATCCTTCGAATCCTTCTGCAACAGCGGCTAATACGGGAAATGCACCTTCTGACCAAGACTATGTAGGTGTAGAGGAATCATGCATACTTGGCATTGACTATAATGAGAGGGCAACAATTGGTTTGGTTGTGCCAATTTTAGCTGATACCACAATACATTTGGATGGCGATGGGTGAGTATTTGAGTTCCTAAAATAAAATTAGTGTTATTACGTACACTCACATAATAAATGTAATCATTTATTTGCAGAGGTTTCAGCGTGTCGGTATTTGGCAAGACTCATATTTTTAAGCCAGTTTCTGTACAAGCAATGTGGTAAGTGACTTTGTCGTTTTACACGGACTAAAAGTGTATTAAGTGTTTATTGTTCTTTTAAGGTCTGCATTGCAAACCCTACATAAAGTATCCCAAAAGGCTCGTGAGAATAACTTTTATCCCGGTGGACCTTCACATGATTGGCTATCCTTTTATGAAAGTCGCATAGAATCAGAACAATCATGTTTAAATGAATGGAATGCTATGGACTCTCTCGAAAGTCGTCGGCCACCATCACCGGATGCCATACGAAACAAGTGAGTGTTTTGATTATATTTTTCATATCCATGCGTTAAATCTGTTTTCGCTTTTTAGACCCACTGCAAAAGAAGAAACAGAAGGAGTTATCAAAATGAAATTAAAAGAAATAATGATGTCCGTTGATTTAGATGAAGTCACTTCCAAATATATACGCAGTCGTTTGGAAGAACATTTAGATATGGATTTGGGTGAATACAAATCATTTATTGACGCAGAAATGCTAATGATATTAGGACAAATGGATGCTCCCACCGAAATATTTGAACATGTTTATTTGGGCTCGGAATGGAATGCTAGCAATTTGGAAGAGTTACAGAAAAATGGGTTAGTAGTATAGTGTATTTTATACAAACTACAATAATATACAATGCAATTTATTATCTCTTCTTTGTACAGAGTTCGTCACATTTTGAATGTAACTCGTGAAATCGACAATTTCTTTCCGGGCATGTTCGACTATCTGAATGTACGTGTTTATGATGATGAGAAAACTAATTTACTTAAACACTGGGACAATACATTTCGTTATATAACCCGAGCTAAGGCCGAGGGATCTAAAGTGTTGGTCCACTGTAAAATGGGCGTGAGTCGCTCAGCCTCGGTTGTTATAGCATATGCCATGAAAGCCTATAATTGGGAATTCCAAAAAGCCCTACAGCATGTCAAGGAAAGACGCAGCTGCATAAAGCCCAATAAAAACTTTCTAAACCAATTGGAAACCTATCGAGGAATGTTAGATGCCATGAAAAATAAAGAAAAACTGCAGCGCAGTAAAAGTGAAACAAATTTGAAGAGCACAAAGGATGCCCGTCTTTTGCCGGGTAGTGAACCCACACCCTTGATACAAGCCCTCAATCAGTCGAAATCCAAATCTGGTGGTGATAGTAACGACGCCATAGATGGACATAGCAATTCATCTGCCTTAGATAATTTGGTGCCTGCTAGCGCAACAAAATTGGCACGACCAACAGCTCGTAGTGACCACAAACATCGACGATTAATGCGTAGATCCAGCAGTACTTCGCCACGTACAATACAAACACCAATGTCATCTATAATCGTTATGAAACAACAATCGCAGAGCTTGGAACATTTGACGCCCGATCGTAGCATAGCAGAAGAACCAAAAAACATGCGTTTCCCCGGCAGTAATGGGGAAAACTATAGTGTTACACAAAACCAAGTATTACACATACAAAAGCACACTCCTCCACCCTCCTCATCATCGCTAAGAGCCCAGTCAACACCACCGCCAACGTTGGTGGAGTGCGGAAGTCCATTGCAAAAGATGCAAACTTCACCGCCTGCTGCCACCTCTGTACGTACCATAGTTCACGACTTAGAGAATCATCAAATACACGATCCTTCGCGAAGAATAGCGGATGATCGCAAATCCTTGAATTTGGCATTTGCTAAGACAGCAGAAGATGCCGAAGAGTGTTTCAGAAGTGCCGAAATACCACAATCTTCAGCTGCTGGTACTGACGGCAGCAGTACCAGGAAGATGGGGAGTCCTGTTTGGACCTCATCCGCCAAGTTAATAACACAAACTTCCAACATTAATACTAGTGTTGCGTCCCTAAATCGTGAAGAAGCCATACAAAAACCACGTCCGCATTCTCGCAAAACGCAATCATGGGCTGCAACCAGTGGTGGTATTATAATGGATAGTGCCGTGCAGGGTTCCAGCAGCAGCATCGATTCCATTTCAACCCAAACTTCAGCACCAGCAGCAATTCCAGCTACTCCAGGTTCAGCAGCTGTGTATGAAGGTCTAGTGAAAACACGTTCCCGCCAAAGAGAATTGCCCTCGCGCCATGCCTCCTGGGGTTCTGGTGACAATCGTAGCGGTATGCCAATGCGCAACAGCTCCTGGGGAGCTTTTGACACAAATCGCAATAGTTGCCAGTATGCCAGCGCCTTCAATCAACACGTCAATGCAAATGCCATTTTTGAAGGGCAAATTCATGAACTTAATAAGAGTAATAAGACTGCCTCGGCCGAGAGCCGATCAACTCATGGTCCACAGCAACAACATCACCATTATGGTACCGTGAAACGAACTAAACAAAAATTGGAAGAGTCGACAGCCCTAAAAAAGCTCTGCCAAGAAAATGGTAGTGGATCTGAATGTGCCAGCAATGCGTCCTCCAATACTAATGAAGCTGGCGATGATGCCGTGTATACAAAACGAAGTTCCAATTTATATCGTTCGGCGTCGGCTGCAGCGGGAACACGAACTCGTTTTGCTCAACGCTGTAACAGTGAAGAAATTGTACCTAGTGGAGGTGGCAATGTTACCACCCACTGTTCACTTGTGACCTCAGGAAGGCGCAGTGATGGTAATCGTCCAGCCACAGCTGACATATTTTCTGTGTCAGCTCCTGAGACCTACACCATGTCTGACATTGAGAACAAAAACACTTTAACCGGAAATGGTAGTGATGAAGAAAATGTGATCTTAAGAAGGCCAGACAATCAAATAGCTTGTACAACTGAGGATCAACGAGTCTCGGGCAATGTTCAAATTCTTAAGAAGAGCTTTGAAGCAAAGGCAGGTGGTGGTAGTGGAGGTAACGTTGGCACTAATGCAGCGGCCAATCAGCCAACAATCAATCCAACAACTGGTAACATTTGTTCCTCCAGTAAACCAACCAAGGGACATCAATCACTGCCATCATCACCAGTAGCTCAACATGTGGATCATCAACATCAAACAAAAACGAACGCATTTCTAGAACAGCATATGACAACATCATCAACAACTGAACAATGTGATCGTAATGTAAAGGGTTTAGTGCATAAATATCAGACATCGTCGTCGTCGTCATCATCATCATCGAGCTCAAGTGTAACGACGACATCAAAATCAATAACGAATCAATCAACTTGTACAAGGGCCACCGCAGTGGGGACGACGACAGAAAGCTCACAGAGAGTTGTTAAGGCCCGACCAAGTTCTTGTTATGAACCTCAGAGATCTTTGACAGGCAAGCCACATGAGTTTAGCGAAAGTCGACCCCCACCAGCACCGCAAAGATTGCCATCAGCCAATGCTACTATATCCAGCCAGCCAGTTCATCACCATCATCATCTAAACGAGGGAGTATTAACGCAACAACAGCAGCCGCCACAACAGAGACGTTTGCAACAACATGGAAAAACTCATCCACTCACAATGCTAAACTTACAAAAGCAAAGCTTCAATGCAGCCGCTTACAATACAATGTAATGATGATCTTATTACAAACAAAACAAAACAGAAAACAAATTGAACCGTTATCGAATCAAAACAAAATTCTCAAAGAAACAAAAAAACAAAACATATATACATTTCAATCAAATCTCCACCATTATCATCCCCACAGCATAATCACCCTCTAACATGGTATTGTCATATTTTAAATGATCCACAATCACAAAACCACAGCATTACTATTTTTTTATCAAACACACACACAGTCACACAAACGCATACATAACGTACCCTGTATAAGTGCATTCAACATCATCATCATCATCATCACTTCACCCGCAATAAAAAATCGACAAAACTTATGACGCGACCCATTCTCTTATTGTGTGTCACATTATTATTCCGCTTTTTCTTTTCATCCATCATTATTATTATATTATAATTATAAACAAGTGTTATGTGTTATTATTTATATATATATTGTCCTCTTTTGTTTTCATTGTATTCACAAAACAAACAAGCAACCAAGAAGCAAACAAACGGAAAATTAATTGTATTTTAATTACATTGAATTTTGCTGTTTTCTTTTCCATTTTGTTCTCCACCTCCACAACGCTCTCTCTCTCTCTCATATCCCTATCAATGTAAGTGTTCTTTGGAAATGTACTCTGTTACAATATCTCATTGGTATTTATATAACTGTACATACTATTTTATAGACAACATTTCGGCTGTCGTTGATCGTGGTATAGATTATTTTTGTTTTATACACAAATCCGAACTTTTTCATTTAAAAGATCTCGAAGTTTGCATGCAATCATTTTATTTTATTTATTAAAAAAAATCAAGTCCAGTTTATGAATGTCGAAAGAAAATGATTGCAAATGAAAAATACTAATTCCATGTGTTTTCAAAATTTTTGTTTAATTGAAAAAAAAACAAAAATTAAAAACAGTTGTCAGACGTAGATATTTTTGTGCAAGAAAAATGGAAATTATTTATGTTTAGAAAAGGGGCAAATTTCACGTTTACAAAGTGGCGATTTTTTGCGTATTCTAGAATAGAGTCTATTGTTGCGTGATTTCGCTTTGTGGTCACAACTAAGTGCTTGTTTAGTGAGGGAAAACATACAAAATTCTTTGGGTGTTGACTTTAAAAATGTTCATTGAAGTAGCCATGGCACTGCAATCATCATGTCAAAGGAGTCCAATTCATTAATACATTGTCAAACAGTACTATATTGCTAATAAACGGTCGTTTTTCATTTTACCTCTTTCTGATCATCTAGGATCGACATGGCCACCTCTAATGAGGTGCAGTATCTGGCTGCAGTAACTCTCAATTTTAGGGAAAAACTCTTAGTCATGACAAGGCTATGAAATGGAAAGGCAATTTTATGTACAGAAAATTCAATAAATGTTAGATATTTTTAATTTTGAATCACAATTCTCCAAGAATAAAATGTTCATTGGGCGTATGATGAATATACCGTTTGATGTTATACGTTAGGGTGTCCTTGCTCTTGGCAACAACATGCATAGGCCTTTAAACAAATACCTCAACTTTATATCATTTTGGCCCAAATCAAAATTTTAAATCTTTTCAAAAAACTGTATTTCGTAATCAAATGTCTAAAACATACATACATGTTATTAATACTATCAATTATGTTTTGTCTTGAGATTTCAATTACCGCCGCATTTCCATTTCCGCCTTTTGTTATGACAACAAAAAAATGTCTGACGTTTTCTGTGTTGCCATTTGATCGATTGCATTGTCTTGATAACTTCGAAACATTTTCATTTTGTACAAATTTTCCATATTATCCCCGCAATTAAAAAAATTTTTAAACACCTTATTTTTTTTACTCCCTTTTTGTCTTTATCAAACTTCCTAAAACTGAAATATTTTTACAGATTTTTTCGCATGTTACGCTCGGTCAAGTACACGTTTGACTACACCAAAATAATATGCTATTATAACAACCATACAGCGAACAGCCAACAATAATACCAAGCTACAACTCCATTTATTGCGTTTAATATGAAATTTAATTTTACAAGTATGCACACCCACATACACACCCCAACGGTATTATGCAACTAATTTTGCGTTATTAACTAACAACAACACAGCCAGTCGGAAAAGTAAATCCTATTTGAATTTTCCATTGTTCCACACTTTTATGATCTAACTTTCTCCAATTATTATCCAGTATGCTATGCTTTATTATTTCTAAATATTATTCATTCTTTTTATTTATATGTTTTTTAAACATTGTATTGTACTTTTTTTATAGAACATTTATAAAAACATTCAATTTGTCATAAATTTCAAACCACACAAAACAAGCAAAGGACATGCAAAACATAATTACGTTGGACGTCAGTCACCAATATTCATTTATCAGTAGAAAACTTGATTTGTTAGGGGACAAAGTGGATTCTAAATACCACGTAATCTTCTTTTCATTCAGTTTTCTTTGACAGACTAAATGAAACCATTCGTGCCTGGCGGCCGTACTAAAACCCAATTATCTTTTTGTGAAAACCACAAGTTTATGATTATTTTTTTCCTTAGTTTTATACACATAAACAGAAAGGAGAATCACATCAGCAAACTATTATACAAAACAAAAAGTACTCTATATTTTAGCTCTAAATAATTAAAATAAAACAAACCAATCATTTTTTTGTAAATATTGTAAGATTTACTATTTTTATGTTTGTATGAAACCAATGGTTTTTAAAAATAATAAATTATATAAAATTAAAATTTTTAATTACAAAGCATAACCAGAGTGTAATTTCTATCAATATGGTTGGGATGAAGAAAATAGCATAATGTCGGGTTTGGGTGCTTTTACTGCATACTTTCTAAAGCTTATCATAATAACGCTGGTAACAAATAGACGTATTGCATCATAAAGTACATAACAGTCAGCGACAAATACATACTGCATTACAGCTGCTACATAATCAGCAAATTTACCGGGAAAAAGACATCTCTTCAGACCGAAACTAGTATCAACTTTCAGATTAAAGAAATTCACACCACCGACATTGAAGAGGATATCCTTGTTCACCAGGGTGAGTTAGTAAATGTTACTTTTCTCCCACAAAAAGTTTGAAAAAAAAAATAATTTAATCACTGGAAAGTCAAGTTCGCACAAACACCACAAAACCAAAACATTAATATCAGCTGGCCTTGTTGCTCAAACATAGAGCAGATAAAAACACGATAAAAGACCGATAAACTCCGAAAACTTATCGATATTAAAGCAAGAGTGTTGCCAACCACAACGAATTTTCCGTTACATTTCTTATAGTTTCAATTATTAAATATGCAACGTTCACCTCCACTAAAGGCCATTGCTACCCAGCAAACAATTAGTGCCCAGTCATCGAAACGAAACAGAAATGAATTATCACCAGGTACTGGAACATCGCCGGTTGCACTCTCACAAATGGAACTTATACACCTTATAAGCAGCACAATTAATGCAAATTTAGACGAAAAACTAAAAACGTTGTCTACAAAGGAAGATATTGAAGAAGTAAAGGTGGAAATAACCTCAATTGGCTCGGAGTTAAACCTTCTAAGGTTGGAAAATCAACAGCTAAAGGTGGAACTACAGCAAGTACGAAGAGAATGTGAAGAAAATAAAAAAGATATAATGTGGATGCAGGAACATATAAAAAGCAGCAAAATTTTCATCCGTGGCCTAAATTGTACAAATGAGCCAACAAAAGAAGTAAATAATTTATTAACAAACAAACTAGAACTGAAAATGAGGGCAAGATCTGTTCGAAAAATTTATGAAAGAAATGGAAAAATGAGTGTAGTGGCTGAATTCGAAACGAACCATGAATCGGAAGAAATTATGCGTAACAGCAGGAAGCTAGCTGGTTCCAACATTTATATAGAACGAGATCTAATCCCATCAAAGCAACAATTTAAAAAAGCTTCTCTTTGTCTCAAGTCGAAAATATTGGCCATAAGTAAGGAACATAGAATCACAGTTAAAGAAGACAGCATTAGGATAAACAATACATGGTTTAGTTGGAATAAAGATCGGAAGCTCATTGCCGGAAAGAACGATGGTAAAGATGAACTACACAAACTTTATGGTGACATTATTAAATCTGTGGACACTAACTACGACTACTTGCTGTGTGAAACAGAGTCAAAAAACTAAATACAATCCCAAACTCATTTTTTCAAAACCTTTCTATTTTATCATATAATGTAAATGGGATTGAAAACAAATATTTATACCCATCCTTTTTCAATTATTTACATAATAATGATATAATTATACTCACTGAAACCCATTTGATTGAAAATAAATTTGAAAACATAAAAAAGTATTTCCCTGGATTTCAATTGTATAACGTTGCAGCAACAAAAGAGCACATATATGGCCGAGCAATTGGTGGCATCATATTCGCAGTCAACGAAAGAACTACAAAATTGGGCATAACGCATAGAGTCATACAGTATGATAATACCAATTGCTATCAGTTTCACTCCAAACAAGGACCATTATTTACCATTATTCCTCAATACTGGAGGCCCGCTCAATGGGACAACGAGTACAAAAAGATCCGTAAACTTCTCGAAGAAAATGATATGTTATATGCAATACTAATCGGAGACCTTAATTCAAGGATTGGTGAATTGACACAAGATTTGAGTGGAATTTATAGAGAACTATTTGCTGCAGGTATGGCCACACGAAAATCTCGGGACAAACTTACAAATAGAAAAGGGAACCTCCTAATAGAATTATGCACCAACAATAACCTTCTCATTCTAAATGGCAGAACTCGTGGAGACGAAGATGGCCATCTTACATACATAAGTGGAACAGGAGAATCCGTAAATGATATATGCGCAGTATCCCAGGAAATTTTAAGCCTTGTGGAGGAATTTGTAGTAGAGAATCAAACATGGTCAGATCATTTACCAATAAAACTCAAACTCAAATTTACTACAGAAAACACTAACATCAAGAATCTTAACCTGTTGCCTAAGCTCTTATGGGATAAACATAATATAAACAGATACCAAGAATGTATCCAAGAGAATTTGAATAAAACTCTGAGTAGGAAAAATGAAGTTACCTTAGACGAGCTTGGAAACATAATAAAAGCATCAGTAAAATCTAAAGTGAACAGAAAAGTGTTCACGCCAAAGCAGCCATGGTATGATTTCAAATGTCATAATGCGCGTAAAATTATGTTTTCTTTACTAAAAAAATATAAGAAAAGCAACACACTTGAGACTAGGAAAAAATACATAGAATCAACAAAGAAATACAAAACTATATGCACGTCCAACAAACAAAGTTACAACAGATACCTGTTAGATACAATCAACAATGTTAATGACTCAAAACAGTGGTGGAAAGCAGTGAAAACGATAAGGAACCAAAGATATCAAATCAGTACGTCAATATCCTCAAGTAGTTTTAAAAATTACTTTGAAGGTCTGTTGAATCCCCCGCATCAAGCTCTTGAGATAAGCTATGCTCAAAATTTTATAACTGATCCAATTCTAGACAGTGAAATAACCATGTGCGAGCTAAAAAGTATATTGAGAAAATTGAAAATAAACAAAGCGCCAGGAGAGGATAGAATTTCATATGAACACATTATATACGCAACTGATGATTTTCACAAACAATTGATCAGGAGATATAACGCAATTTTAAATAAAGGATGTATTGATAATGCTTTTAAGAAAACCATAATTTTCCCAATCCACAAAAAAGGAGATATGTCAGAACCATCAAACTACCGAGGAATTGCTTTTATGAATAGTATTGCTAAAATAATGATGGGAATTTTAAATCAGAGACTATATGATTGGGTAGACTATCATCAAGTGCTTTGCGAATACCAGGCAGGTTTCCGAAAGGGCTATTCGACGGTGGATAATATATATAACCTGGCATCAATTGTGAATATTAAACAAAACGAAAATAAGAAAGTATATGCTTTCTTTGTGGACTTTAAAGCCGCTTTCGATAATGTCTTCAGAAAATCCTTAATATATAAACTAGCTCGACTTGGTGTTTCGAATAAATTTCTAAAACTGATTGAAAGTATATACAACAACACAGAGTATGCGGTTTGGACAGGCGAAGAACTGTCAGACTACTTTGAAACCAGTTCAGGAGTGAAACAAGGTTGCCTCCTGTCGCCATTGTTATTCTCGCTCTATATAAATGATCTACACGAACATCTAGAAGGAGGTATTGATATTCACAATATAAACATTAGGCTTTTGCTCTATGCAGATGATATTGTGATTTTGTCAGATGATATAAAAACGCTACAACAAATGATCTCAAACCTGGAAAGCTATTGTGAAAAGTGGAATCTGAAAGTCAATATGAGCAAGTCTGAAATACTCATATTCAGAAAAGGAGGAAGGCTGGGCAGAAATGAGAAATGGAAGTTTAATGGAAATGAAATTAAAAATGTAAATGAGTACAAATACTTAGGAGTCACCTTTACCCCGAAACTTTCATTTTCAAAACACATTGAGAAACGAACTAGCCAGTCAAAGATGGCAATAAACTCTACATGGATTGATTTCCTGGGGAAGAAAGATGTAAATATGAAAATGAAATGGAAGGTCTATGAGGCTGTTTGTAGATCAGTACAAACTTATGCTGCACAAGTATGGGGATATTCGTATTTTGACGAGGTCGATAAGTTGCAGCGTTACTTTTTAAAGAAAATCCTCAAAGTACCAAGTTTTACACCTAACTACGCTCTTATGCTTGAGACCAATGTCGAAAATTGTCACTTATATACACTCAAACTAAATCTAAAGTATATACATCAAGTATTGTACAGATACCAAGAACATCGGTTACCGACAATATTAACCAATATATTGCTAGAAAAAGAAGGATTCTGGGTAGCAAATATTAAAAGTATGGCTCATCGGTTAAACGTTCAATGGCCAAATACCGCAAATGAAGATGAATGGACATTATTTAGCAAATGCATTATTGGTAAAGAAAAAACATATTTATTACAGGAAAACTTGAGGCTAAAACAACAAAGCCAAGATAGAATTTATAAACATTTAGACTATAGAATGGGAGAAATGTACTTTACTGACTCTTTTACTAGCGATCAGATTTCATGGATCTTTAAAGCACGATGTGGACTTATCAATTTGAATGCAACCAGATTTAACACTGAAAATGCAGAACGTAAATGTACGTTATGTAATCTGATTCGTGATGAAACATTGCAGCATTTCATTGGAGAGTGCCCTATCCTGGCAGAATTTAGGACGAGTTTTTTCCAATCCGCAATACTATCCGAAGAAGATGTGATTAACATTCTGGATGGTCGTGAAGCACATTATTGGAGACAGCTGGTCATATATTTAAAAATATGTTTAAATTATAGAGAATTTCTAATATTTGAATACAACTCAGTATAAACATAAATTAACTTGTAATCAGATACGACAGACGGTTTATTAAAAACCATTGTCTATTTAATAAAAAAGTATATATTATATATATTA